ACAACTTTATAACTTAAAAACACATTAATTTGAGTAAATGTGTTAATAAACGTCAGTATTAGCACAGACTAAATAAATTTTGAATAAAATTATTTAAACTCTTAAATCCTATTGTCTTTTCTAAATCTTGTGTTAAGTTAATGCCTAAACATTTGAAATAAGGATTTGCCTTAAAGCTCTTAATTTATAGTCATTAATACTATTGTGTATTTATATAAAATCTGTGCGCACTATACGGTGGGTGCGGTTAGCGCATTATGTGAGTAAAAACATAGTTGTGTGGCAAATATAGAAAGCGCACTATACGCTGGGGCGCACTATCGCACGTCAAACAGGGTAACTGGACAATAATCATAGATAAAGCAAGCTGTTTAAATTAATAAAAACAATAACATTTTAAACATACAATGAATTGAATGAATAAATGACACTGGTGAGAATCCACTCATAAATCGGCATTCATTTCAGTCTCTCGAAGGTTTAAATGCTAAACTCTAGCTATATTTGAATCCAGGTGCCCATACCGGCCAATATTGACATATCGATTGATTGTCCGATTATTCGTGTCTCTTATGAGGTGTATAAAAGTTATGTGCCATTTGCTATCACTTAACTCATTGAGTAAAATATAAATTTAATTATGTTTAATGAATCAATGTACTATAATCAAAATATTTATTATAATTTAACCAAATTAATATATTTACAATTTGTTATTTACAAAAATCTTACACCAGTCTAATAAAGTTATTTATCATAATATTTAATAAAACATTGTACCTTGGTTTGTTATTTTAATATTTTTTGTGAATTATATTTTTTTAAATATTGAGAAAAAAAGATATTTATAAAGGTTCCTGATAAATAAAGAATATCTTGTGCTTCATGAATATCTCAGCCAATTGTTTCGGTTCAATTCAAGTGTATAAATAAGTGTTTATAAAATGTATAGATAACATCTGCACAAAAATGTAGCAAAATCATGCCTGAATATTTTTTAAAAAATTCTTATATTAATTAAAATAGTTACAATTATCATAAATAAATAAAATATTATAATCTTATTACATTTGAATTAAAATAGCGCCACCGCTAAACCCATTATCAAATGAATACAATCAGCATTGTTATCAATAGATATTAAATACCATAGAAATGTTCACAAATTTAGTAATTTTAGTAAATTTGAAACCCTAAAAGTTAATAGATACTATTCAAATTACCTTCATAATTAACACTATTCAAATATGAATTTTATTAGTGATTAACATTAACGGGTGGCACGAGAAATGAACGTACCTGGATAAGAATAACTTTGTTTTTATGTGAGCTTAAAGTATTTCATACACTCATTATATCGTATCATTTCTATGGAATCGTATAAAGTTTATCACATTTTCCATAACAACACCAAACATATCATAATACAATTTATCGACATTTTGAGTTATTGTCGATTAAAAAAATTAAAAAAATTAAATTCAATGTTTAAATGGGTATTAGATTCTTGAAATTCATAATATAAAACTTAATTTTTTGTAATTTGTGTGAAAAATGTCTACACTTTTGGATAAGTTTCATATTTGCGATACGATTCACACGACTATTAGACATGAAATCAAATTATTTCATGTTTTCCAAGGCAGGAGTGATGGAAATAATATATTATTTGTCACAAATAATGACACCGTCTATGGATTGGGTGTTAATGGTTTTGGATGTCTAGGTTTGGGTCATGACATGGATGTAAAAACACCACTAATTATACGGGAATTGTGTGGACAACGGATCCAACAGTTTATCAATGGTTGTGACTTTGTGTTGGCTATGAATGAGGACAACCATGTGTTCAGTTGGGGACACAATGATGGGGGACAGTGTGCTAGAGATGTGACACCAGAAGGGGTTTATTTAAAACCACAACTAATATCACAATTAAATGACAAGGATATCGCATATATTTGTTGTGGTGCTTGGCATTCCCTGGCGCTCACGACTGATGGAAAGGCGTACGGGTGGGGCGACAATACTTTCGGACAAATAGGATGTGGGTACTTTGAAAATAATATAATGTGTTCAACAGTTTTGATACAATTTGAAAACAATTATAAGATGAAAAATATATTTTGTGGTTCCGAGAGTTCATTCACAATTACTTTAAATGGTTTGGTATTTAGTTGGGGTGATAATGGTGACCATCAATGTGGACATCAATCACAAGAAAACATTTTGACCCCCAAATTGATTCCACTGTTAAATGATATCAAATCTATTTGTTCCATAAATAGAGGAAATAATTTCACATGTTTTCTATCCAATAGTAATATAATTTATTTTTGTGGCAAATATACTGATGACATGAAACAAGTCCAAATAGAAATAGTACCCAGACCAATTTCAATGAAATTAAACGTTCAACAGATTGATGAAATGCATTCATTTGTTCGTCGATATGTAGTATTAATACAAACTGATGACACAATTTGCGCACTTTTCTCACCAAACAAAGTGAAAAAATATAAATATAATAATTTTATAGAGTTTTATGCAACTAAATTTCAACTAAGTTATAATACACTGCATATAAATATGAACATGGTCACAAAAAAAAATTATTTTCCATTTTATAATACCTTTAATTTGGACTCTTTTGACGGCATATATGTGTTCATCGATTCTGTGCTTTACTTTATATACGGTTCCAAAACCTCCGGAACCGATGGCCGATAACTCAATGAACAGACTTTTGTAATGGTTTTCATGCGAATTATGTCCCAATTTTGTTACAACTATTTTGTGCATAAAATATATTAATTATTACAAATACAACAAGCAATCATATTATTTATTTAAAATAAAAACAAATAACAAAATACCTTCATTTGTATTAGTATTATATTGTTTTCGTTTAATATTTGGTGTTTTATTTGTTTTCATTACAGATTCAGAGAGATTTGTGACCATGTTCATATTTATATGCAGTGTATTATAACTTCGTTGCCATTCAGTTGCATACAAATCTATAAAATTATTATATTTATATTTTTTCACATCGTTTGGTGAGAAAAGTGCGCAAATGGTGTCATCAGTTTGTATTAATACTGTATTTCGACCAACAAATGAATGCATTTCCTCAATGTGTTGAACGTTTAATTTCATTGAAATTGGTCTGGGTAGTATTTCTATTTGGACTTGTTCCATGTCATCAGTATATTTTCCACAAAAATAAATTATATTACTATTGGATAGAAAACATGTGATATTGTTTTCTATGTAATTTGCGGAACAAATAGATTTGATATCATTTAACTGTGGAATCAATTTGGGGATAAAAATGTGTTCTGGTGTTTGGTGTCCACATCGATGGTCACTATTATAACCCCAACTAAATACCAAACCATTTAAAGTAATTGTGAATGAACTCCGGAAACCACAAAATATATTTTTCATCTCATAATTGTTTTCAAATTGTATCAAAACTGGTGAACACATTATATCATTTTCAATGTACCCACATCCTATTTGTCCCCAAGCATTGGCGCCCCACCCGTACGCCTTTCCATCGGTCGTGAGCGCCAGGGAATGCCGAAAACCACAACAAATATATGCGATATTCTTGTCATTTAATAGTGATATTAGTTGTGGTTTTAAATAAACCCCTTCTGGTGTCACATCTCTAGCACACTGTCCCTCATCATTGTTTCCCCAACTGAACACATGGTTGTCCTCATTCATAGCCAACACAAAGTCATATCCATTGATAAACTGTTGGATCCGTTGTCCACACAATTCCCGTATAATTAGTGGTGTTTTTACATCCATGTCATGACCAAAACCTAGACATCCATAACCATTAGCACCCAATCCATAGACGGTGTCATCGTTTGTGACAAATAGTATATTCTTTTTACTATTCCCGTCATCGCAAACATGAAATAATTTGATTTCCTGTTTAATATTCGTGTCAATCGTATCGCAAATACGAAAATTATCCAAAAGTGTAGACATTTTTCACACAAATTACAAAAAAATAAGTTTTAATATGAATTTCAAGAATTAAATACCCATTAAACATATAAACATTAAATTAAAAATTTTTAATTTTTTTAATCGACAATAACTCAAAATGTCGATCAATTGTGTTATGATATGTTTGGTGTTGTTATGGAAAATGTGATAAACTTTATACGATTCCATAGAAATGTTACGATATTATGAGTGTATGATATTTACCTTAAGCTCACTAAAAAACAAAGTTATTCTTATCCAGGTACGTTCATTTCTCGTGCCACCCGTTAATGTTAATCACTAATAAAATTTATATTTTAATAATGTGTATTATGGCGATAATTTGAATAGTATCTATTAACTTTGAATGTTTCAAATTTACATAAATTACTTAAATTTGTGAACATTTCTATGTATTTAATATCTATTGTCAATAGACTATTGATAACAATACTGATTGTATTCATTTGATAATGGGTTTAGCGCTATATTCATTCAAATGTAATAAGATTACAATATTTTATTTATTAATGATAATTGTAACTATTTTAATTAATATAAGAATTTTTAAAAAATATTCAAGCATGATTTTGTTACATTTTGGTGCAGATGTAATTTATACATTTTATAAACACTTATTTATACACTTGAATTGAGCTGGAACAATTGGCTGAGATTATCATCAAGCATAAGATTTTCTTTATTTATCAGGAACCTTTATAAGTATC